TGCCCTGTAGCACAGGCTGGCTTTGAATTTGCTCCTCCTCAAGCCTCCTGAGATGGGTGCCTGACTACACCTGTCTTTTCTGGCTATTCTATCCTTGAGTAACTAACAGACCCTTCTGAAAGAAGAAAAGCACAGGAATTAAGTGCTAAGAGCTAAGAATTGCTGAAGAAATTTTATTGATAATAAATAAGATAGATAAGGTGCAGGCTAATGTGGGTCGTTTCCTGACTCGCACAAGGTTATGATGTCTCATGTCTCATGTCTCACTTCCCAAGTCTTGAGAAATTTGCTCACGAGGAAGATGCATTGAGTCTTTTCTTTTCAGTGTCTGATAATTTCAGCAGTGGCATATTGTACTCAGTGGGCTTGATAGCTCCAGGGACAATTTGTACCTGAGGTCCAGTGTCATGCTGGCTTACTGGATGGGCGTCCAGGTCACCCCAAATTATGCTGCGATAATGTCTGATTGTTTGTCAAGCCCTCGTGGATAACACTGCCGTCTGCCGCTCTCTGCCTGGCCGTCTGATGCTACACACTTTACTGCAGAGGCCGCCTTTTGCCCTCCATCTCCAGTCTTCTCCCTCACCCATGCCTTTGGCTGTACATAGGCAAGGAATTCTGTTCAGATCTCTCCTTTATCTTTCCAGTGTCCCTTTGAGGGCTCACATCAATGCATTGATCTCTTTTCCCTCTCCTGGTCCCTTTCATAATCTTTCAACTCCCACCTTGCTCTTTTTAAACAAAAGCCTGAACTTACATGGCTCTTGCCCTGGGGGGGGGGTTTGGTTACCCCCATCCCACCCCGTCTTTTCGCTCAAAGATTTCTCTCTTCAAATTCAGCTCTGTTTCTTGTCCAAATTACACCAGAGCCTGTCTATTCAGAGATTCTCAGCTTCCTCTTTAGACTTTGTTCTTATGGGATGGAAGAGGCTGCTGTAGACCTAGGACTAAGGCATTCCCAGAGAAACGGCCCCCACCTAACCTCAGAGACACACTTGGCCTTCCAGGGACTTTGTTTCCTTTCAGGCCTTTGATATCTCTTTGAGTGCTCTCTGCCTTTTCTCTGACTGCTTAGGTCCTCTCACTTCACTTTTTCTAAAGAAGTTTCCACCCTTCAGCCAGTCTATCCTATTTGGATGCAGCGCTGGCAGTCGATGTCCAACTTGTTGGGGTTGGGAAGCTGTTTTGGGGTATTCAAGAAAAAGATGAATGACCGGTTTGACTGAAGTCAGCAAGAGGAGAAGGAAAAGGAAAGGAAGGCGGGGGGGGGCATGGGGGACGGGACACAGCCAGCATGAAAAGGTGGGGGTTCAGATCAAGGTGGTGGACGGGGACAGGAAGCAACGAATGAATTTATCAGAAATCAGAGGCTACTATGATGGTGGAACTACCGGGAATTCCCAGCCATCTTGAGGATATTTTGAGCTTCCACTGCAGATGGGATGTGGGGGGGCATGGGGTGGATTTAAGGTAATCTAATATAGGCAGAGGGGAATGGTGACCCCAGCTGACACTATATGCACCTTATGCACCAATTGCAAGGCTGGTTTGCGGGTCCTTCTGAAGAATGCCGCTCATACAGAAAGCCTTGCAGCTGTCTGTGGAGTAAAGACAGTTTTGTCTGTCATTCATCTATTTACTTTGGGTTTTGCTCCAGCCTAGGTTTTTGAGCAGCCCCGGAGATGGTTCTTTATACATTGTCCTCAGCAAGGATCCATGTTCTCCGGTCCTTTCCTTCCATCCCTCTAGCTAACCCACTGCAGCCTTTTGTTTAATTCTCTCGCTCCCTGTGTTTGAGAGCCATCTTCTAATGTGTGCTTTCCCTTTTGCAGCTCTGGTTCCATGGGCTCAGCTCCGTGTCTTTTGTTTGTTTGTTTGTTTTGGCTCTTGTAACTAGTGTGGTAATGACAATCTCCATTTTACGGTAAAAGATTCCTGGTGGCTTAGCAAAAATGTTGTCTTTTGTTCCACAGTATTGGTGAAGAGTCTGTTTAAGCAAAGGGGAAGAGACAAAGAAATGGGGAGAGAGCGAGAGAGGAAGAAAGAAAGGAGGAGGCATTCATCTTTTAGGAAGAATGCACTGAAACATTTCTAGAGGAAATTATGTATTTGAACCATGCTTTAAAATAACCCAGGAAAAGAGGGGGAGGCAGGGAAGGACCTAGGTGTCATGGCTAAACAGTATTGGTCACATTGCAAAGTTCTATAACAAACACATGAAGGTTCAATAGCTATATTGACCCCAAGTTTTGAGGATGTTTGACATTTTGTTACCAAAGGTGTAACTTAAGAGTGTGTGTGTGTGTGTGTGTGTGTGTGTGTGTGTGTGTGTGTAACATTTCGGGCATGGGTCATTGGTTCCCACAGTCACCTCAGGTTTCTTGACTGCATGTGACCCTCAGATGATTTCTCAGTTCTTGCTTCCTACTGACTGACTGTCACGCCTTTGTCACTGCTGCCAGGGACAGTCTTCCTCATCTTTGGAGCACAGTACCTAGCATTTTTATCGACTTGAAATGAGCTGAAGGAAATCCCTAGCCCAGGCATGCGCCTTCCCCATTGGCACAACTCTTTCTGGAACTGTGACAGCAGGAGCTCCTGAGTGGAGTCCCGGCACATCTGTGCAGGGTTTTCCTCCCTGAGTGTGAGAGAAGTCCCCGTGGCGTTCTGCACACATGGCCATATCACTATGGGATTTTCTCATTGATCTGGTCCTTTTCTTCTGACAATTCCAGTTTCCTTTCAGATCTAAAGGTAACACTGGACTTGCTGCTTCGGTGACTTGTAGTTAATAACTCAGGTATGGATGTAAATTAGGACCTTCACTGTATAGTGTGCCTTTGAGCATCTTCTATCTCAGTACATCCTTCATCCCTTCTTCTCTTCTCACATTCGTTGGGACACTAGACTCATCCCATCTTTGTCATTTCTCCCTTCAAACCCAAATCTTTGACATCCCCTGAACTCTTTATGTTGGGATCCATCCCTTGTTTGAGTTGGGGTCCCTGCAGGTAGCATACAGGGAAGTGAACTGCATGAAGGGATAAGAATGAAAACCTGGCACTGATTGACTTGGTCAACCTGGATGAGACTGTGGGGAGTCTAATAAGCAGTTTATTCTCAATGTTTTGAAATCCAGGATAAATTGGAAAAAGTTTCCTGCTGTAATATAATCCTTATTGTACAAAGAAGCATGATTACATTGAACCTCAACTCAGGGTGCATGCCATTTTTTTCCCAAGAAGATGGGTTCTAGAGATACGAACCTGTACTACCATAAAGGCCAAAGGATATTGCCTGGTACTGGCCATACAGATAGCATAGAGGCCATTTGGACTATTAGCCACCTTCGGTCCTGGTTGCTGGAGCTTGTGGGAGCCTCTGGCTATAAGGGTCATTTGAATTACTAGCTACCTCTAGTCTTAGTTGTAAGAACTTGATATGACCTAGACCAACAGGCTGTTAATTTCTCATAATTCTCAACTTTTTGGGTGGAAGAACAGGTTTTTCATCTTTTCCTTTGGAAAGACAATTCTGTGAGCTTAACATTTCTGGTTTTCCTGGAGATCTGTGGGCTCAAGGCCTTCCGTGGTTTGCACCCAAGAGTTGTTTGTCTCTTACTATTTTCATTCTGGCAGCTTCTACCTTACTCTCCCTACCTTAATATAGCTTTTATGAATCTTAGGGGTCACTTTGACTTCGAGGTTTCAACTGGGGAGACATGTATAATTACATCTGTTTGACAAGGGTCACAGAGGGTAAGTGGTTTATTTAAGGTTTCAGAATCAGTGAGAGACAGAAGTAGAACCCTGCCTCCTAAACCTTAGAATTTTCTGACAATAGCTCAGAGTACTGGGACCTGGGTTAAGCCTAGGCAGAGTGGTTAGGATTATTTTTTGGACTCATGCTGATATTGACTGAAACCTTGATATTCTCTCCAACAAATTTTCTTATTTCTGAAAAAATCCTAACAATCCGGAGGAGGAAGTAGCTGATCTGTCCCATCACCCCACCAGAGTTTACCAGGTGCCTTAGGCTTCCCAGATAAGACTCAATAGTAGGGCACATAGTAGCGGGGCATTATGGGTTGGATTGGGACCCTGGGAGGGGGTGTCAAATGTCCCTTTCACAGGAGTCACATCTGAGATATTCTGCATATTAGATATTTCTATTACAATTCATAGTAATATCAAAACTACAGTTATGACATAACAACAAAAATAATTTTATGGTTGGGGGTCACCACAACATGAGGAACTGTATTAAATGTTCATAGCATTAGGAAGGTTGAGAATCACTGCCCTTGGGGATGCTAACTGGAAAGACGATAGGTGATGGTGGGCGAAGCGTGGATCTCCTTCCCTAAGTAGAGAGAAGAGTTGATTGTTGGAGAGTATGATCAACAAAAGGTGCTGAATGGTGGGACAGTGAGTGATAGCCACTGCTGTGAAGCAGGAATGTGACTGTCCCCTATTGTCACCCAAGCATAAGAAGGAACTAGCCGTGTGATGGAGTGGTGGGGAAGCTGGAGCAGGCTTAGTTATGACAGCCCTTACTTTGCACCATGCCTCTAAAGGGGCCCAGACCAGTACACCATAGTCTCACAACCTCCTCAGGTTAGAGCATCCACCTTCTGGGAGTTTATCAACGACTTTCTACCAAAATAATCTTTGAGGGAAAATATGCTTGCAATCAATTTACCTTCCATCTTTGATTCCTCGGCAAAAGGAACTGTGTAATCAATTTAATAATTTTTATCTCTCCTCACCAAACCTCCAAAACAAACTATGTATTTATGTAAGAAACTGAGACGAACATTTCAGTATAAGAGAAAGTGTCACCATCCTAAGACAAACAAACTGAAAGATGTATTCCTTTGTCGGCATAGAATTTTAGTTTCTGCAAAGCTCAGTGTGATCTCCCCTCACCCCCACCTTTGTCTGCAGGGAGAACTGAGCCTGTGTGTAATAACTCTGAGGAGCCCAGAAATGTATTGGATTTATAATTTTGGGAACTTTATTATTCAAAGTAAAAAGGGAAGATACAAAAGTTGTTTTATTTACCAAGCAAGGGCAGCAGGCCTACAGGAAGTGTTGGTCATTTCTGTTGAGCTGTCAGATAATGGGAAGGTTGACCAGATGGCTGAATTTTACATCCTGGCCTGTCATTTTCGAGGCTGCTGGATAATGTAGGCCCGCTTCAGGGGAGTGGCCTTCTCCAGGGCAGGTGTGGGCTTTTGATGTGCTGTGTGAACTGCTGCTGGAAATTTATGGTTGAGCTAAGGATGAGAAGGGAAGAAGAATTAGCACATTGGATCCATTGGGTTATACAATATTACAGTAAAAAAAATCAATACAGTTGGTCAAGTCACAGTTTTCTTTGCTTTGTCAAGACCTTCCTTCCATGGCACTTCCAGTCCTCAGCCCACAGGAGTGTACATGCTACACTGTTGTTTCTTTCATTAGCATGTCTTTAACTTTTATCACAGGACATATGACGTATATAAGTCAAAGTCTTGAACTCATGGTCTTCTGGCCTCAGCCTTTGAAGGGCTGGGATCAGAAACATGCACCATCACACCAGGCTGTATATTTGTTTTTGTGGTCCCATCTTGAAAAGCAGAAGTGGCGACCCCCATCTGTGGCAGCAGGTGATTCGAGCACTAGTTTATGTAATACAGAGCATTATATTCTTAGAAGGATGTGGCGACCTTAAGGAGAAGTTCTGAGGATGGGACAATTATTTACTTAATTATCAAACTATGAGGAGAAAGACCCTCTGAAAGAAGTTAGAAAACATTTTTCAGTAAAGAGTGGCCCTTCCACCTGGTTCAAACTACACAGCCTGGTAAAGGAACACTGAGGAGCAGCTTACTAGTTTTTAGGTGAAAACGATTCTCATTTGTCAGCTGTGAGGAAGTGCATTCAGATGAACACAGACTGTGTGACTTTCTGACAGTCAGAAAAAATTCCCATCGACCAAAGATCCCCTGGGATTTATACTCAGCGCAGATTAAGACGGGGAGGGTTTCAGAGCTGCTGAGTGATTTGCACATTATTCCTAGGAAGAGTTTGGACTCAGTGACCTTTGTGTCTCTTCAGTTTTGGGTTTCCAAGCTCATCAATATTGTCCCAAAGTACCTCAAGCAAGACACGGCTGTTAGCCAGCCAGGAAGTGGGGCCTTGGCTTGCTAGGCACTTAATATATCACTATTGAATTTGTCCTTGTTTTGACACTCAAGCTAAATAAAGGGGGAGATAGACTGTTAGGACTCTAAGTAGCACATTGTTTGATGGGGATCTTCAAAACTAGGGAGAGCGTGTGCCTCCCATATCTTCTCAAGTACCCCTAGCCGAGCTATTGCAAAGGGCATTGACTTTCATGTGAAATTTGACTCTGAGAAGTCTTTTTTCAATCATTAAATGCACACGTGAACACACATGCATGCACATGCACACACATACACACACACAAAATAGGATTGTGAACACACGCGTGCATGTGTACGCACACACACACACACACACACACACACACACAGAGAATAGGATCATGGGAAATTCTTAGTGCTTTACTTACAAGTATTTTTCTACTTTGTCTTTTACAATGAGCAGATACAGTATATACTAATTAACCCCAAGGATGGACCCCTGCTGACTTTCCAGCAGAAGGGATCAAAATAATTTAATATCAGCTATAAATGTTGCTTTAAAGTTTGAAAACGAATGGGGGACTTATTTATTTTTTAAGTCAGAGCAATTATCATTAGTGTATATGTGTTTTGCAGTATGGTAAGGGAGAGTATTGTGTTTTCTTTTTCTTTTGACATTAGAGCCTAAAAGAAATTTTGGGGGGTCACTAACTTTAGTGGTTTGTTTCCAGAGTGGGTATTTTTAGCTTCATTTAAAACAGATGGGTTATTTCAGGTTGACTTTAAATCACAGTAAAAAAAAAAGTCACAGGCAGGAAGGACAACCTGGCAAGTTAGCGAAGGTCAAATGTGAGGTAAAGGGAGCAGGAAAACAAAGGGAGCCTCTACTAGAACTGCAGTCTGGGTGATCAGTCGGGATGAGAAGGGCCAAGACAGGAAGTTGGGACAGGAAGGAGAATGCCACAGTTGTCATTGTCCTTTAGGTAGGAAAGGCAATGGGCGGGGCTAGGAAACCAGAAGAGGGGGACAGCGCCAGAGCCCCTTGTCTCTCTGCTAAGCATGGATTTGTTAGCGGACCTGTCCTGGATCAGCTTCAATAACTCAAGGGCTTCATTTCTGGGGGTTGTTTTAAAAATCATGGTAACATAGGATATAAAATTGATCATTTTACCTTTTTATGAAAGTATTTTGCAGTTCAGTAACATTAAATATGTTCATATTGCTGTATCATCCCCACTGCTACTCAACTAAATCTTGATCTCCCAACTGAAACATGGTACCCCTTAAACAACACTCTTTGTCTTAGTTCACCAAAAGCGGCTTAGGGAGGAAAGGGTTTATTTTATCATCTGCCTCCAGCTTAGTTGGTCACTGAAGGAAGTCAAAACAGGAACCCAAGCAGGGCAGGAACCAGGAAGCAGGCGCTGATACAGAGGCGTCAGAGGGGATGCTTTTACTGGCTTGCTCCCTATCGATTGCTCAACCTGCTATATTATAGCACCCAGAACGACCAGGCCAGACATGGCTCTGTCCACAGTGAGCTGGGCCCTCCTGCATTAATCATCAATCAAGAAAACACATCACAGACCTATCTGGAAGGAGAGTTGGTTTTCTTTAGGGATGTCATATCTGGTAGGTCAGCCATGCTCTAAGGGATGGGTCTACACTCAAGAGCATCTGGGCAGCACAAATTAGACTTGAGGGGTTTAAAAACAAAGACAGAAAATTGGGTAGGTTCTGAGAGGGGCTGGGGAAGAAGGGTGGACACAATTCAAATGCACTGTATGAAATCCTCAAAGAATGAACACAATAGTTTAAACAAGTGTTAAACTAAAAGTGTGTATGTGTGTGTGTGGGTCAGCATCAGAGTTTCATGGCAACTTTTAATACTACAATGGCAGCATAGTTAAGTTCTCTTTGACATATCCCTGTCCCAGTCAGCAGGAACATTCTGATGGAGAAGTGTCGTGGTTGGACAGAGAGTCTTAAACTCTCTTCTAGCCAGATGTGCTGGGGCACACCTGTAATCCCAGCATTTGGGGCGGTGGTGTCAGGAGGACCAGGAGTCTGAGGCTAGCCAGGGCTACAGGAAACCAGGGTCTTTGCTGTGGATTATTTGTCTTTGAAGGTACAGAGATTAGATTATCAAAACCGAACTGGAAACAAATAGAAGTCAGTTTCTAGAATATGGTCTACAACCATCTATATTTTTATTTAGCATCTTATCTTGGGAAAGTTCTAGAGTTTTAATCAATGGTTATTGTAAAGGGATAGTGTTAGTAGAATAAAACTTGCTTCTTGTCTGAGCCACTAAGGTAACAGCACCTAACAGAACACAAGAGGAAGAATTCAAGGTTGAGGGGTGTGTGTGTGTGTGTGTGTGTGTGTATTCTGCCTCCTGGCTTCATTACAGGGGTGACACTGAACATGAAAACATGAGAGAGATTCCTGTGTTGAGAATTTTCCTTCCTTGTAGACACCTGTGAGTTCAAAACCCCTATTTTTAGTTTCAGGGAAGACAGCCAGCAAAAGAGGTCTGCTCAAAGTGTGTCTGCCTGGAAGTCTGAAGTAAACCCGAGAGGGAAGGAGACCCAGGGCAGGTTCTGCTTCTGAGGCTGAAGTGTGGTGGTCTGAGCGGATGCCAGCTCGTCCATCCATCTTCCCCAGCTGTTAATTTTCAACTCCAGGGTTGGCGCTTACATTTCCACAGCCTATTAAGCAAAGCACTCAAAGCGATACACACACTCCACATCAGTGACATTCAAGGACACTCCGAGGGAGATGTTAATTTGTGGAAGGAGAGGATCCCTCCTAATTTCACAGATGCCTTTGATAGTTTTCCTTCCTAAGACCCCATTTCACAGGCAGCTGGGCAACTTTGGCCAGTGGATGACCCAATGCCTGGTGATTTGGAAAATGTTACTGAAGTTTAATCAGACACCAATGTCACACACCTCTACAAAACATAAACATTGTTAATGTTTAATCAGATACTTTTGTGTGCTGAGAACACAACTCAAAAATGTATCTCCCCGTTCCCCCCCCCCCCCCCCCGTCTTAGAAAGAAAAGTTAAGAAACCATAAATCTTTGAGGAACTTTATGACATCTTGAAAGTCAACTTGCCTTTGAAAGTGACTGTCAGAAGTTAGCCACGGCCAGGTCTCCCAGATGCTAGCAGAGAAAGCATCTGGGTCACACAACGCCTTTTCTACAGTGACATCAGGCAATGTGTGCGGCCACTGCACAGTGGGAATATTCTGTGTCGGGGTGGCGAGGTGCGTGGGGAGAGCTGATGGGAGAGGCAGAAAAGCAGCAACAGCAGGGTGGGGTGAGAGAAAACAGTCTACGTGGAAAAACAGTGGGAGGAGAATGTTCAGGCTGCTCTTCACCTAGATTAATCCAGTTCCATCTCTCTGGGGGGTGTTTCCAATCTCCCAAGTCTTAAACCCTATCATTGGTAGTCAAATGACTGAATGGTTGGTGAAGCCTTAAAGGAAGTAGTTGTGTTAGACTATTACAAAATCAAGGTCAGGAACCTCGTGGGCTCTTGGGACTCAACTTAACTAGCCGAAAGTGAGAAAGAATGTTAGCAAGTACAAAAACTATGCTCCTACTACATGAAATTTACCCAAATTTGTGATTATTATGAAACATAAGTGGGGATTTTTGAAAGCCAGTATGGAAGAATGTTCATTTGGACGTTCTTTTAGTATGGATTCAGTGTGCTATGCATCCACCCATTGCCAATGTAAACACTGCATTGTGTCTTTATTCGATATGGTTTGTCTTCCTGTGTCTGTGGTATTGCTACTTTAAATGACTATAAAAACGAAGCAAGCCGGGCGGTGGTGGCGCACGCCTTTAATCCCAGCACTCGGGAGGCAGAGGTAGGCGGATCTCTGTGAGTTCGAGACCAGCCTGGTCTACAGAGCTAGTTCCAGGAGAGGCTCCAAAGCCACAGAGAAACCCTGTCTCAAAAAACCAAAAAAAAAAAAAAAAAAAAAAAAAAAACGAAGCAAAACACAAAAGCCAACCTTGTGACCTTGTGCATAACAACCAAAATATTATATATCATACAGAGATGTATTTTTCTCCTAAAGGCACTGAAACTCAAAATTATTATTAAAAAACATAAGAAAATCTAAAAAAAAAAACAAAAAAAAAAACCCCAAAACTATGCTCTTCAATTATACTACCGCATTTCTTCTGACCAATAGTTAGGTCTTCATGATAATGTATAGTATGGGGAAGGAACCACTTTAACACAAGAGGAAAACATCAAAAATATTTAAATCTCTTTCTTATTTTTGGTTTGGGACAGGGTCTATCTATGTAGTCCTAACTGTCCTGGAACTGGCTATGTAGACCAGACTGGCCTTGAACTCATGGAGATCCATCTGCCTCTGCCTCCCAAGTGTTAGGAATAAAAGTTTTGTGACACCATATGCTACAGATGAATTTTTATTCTTATGTGCCCTGTGTATATACAAGTGCAATGGAAGACACAAAAGGTAGTTGCCTCAAAAAGGGATGGGTGGATTCCAATAGAAGATACCTGGTACCCTCTTTTGGTCTCTGTGTGCACACATAAGACCACATAGACACACAGACACAGTCACACAGACAGACAGATACACATCACAGAGAAGGGGGGGCATGACTCTTTCTAGAGCTGAGTTGCTGCTCCTCAGATCCTGATTTTGGCAACACAATACTTCAAAGTATGGCCCCTTGGCACACTGAAACCACACACTGAGAAAGCCTAGTAGGCGGCAGGTGCAGGAGGGGCTCCCACTGAAGCCCTCTTTCTACCCAAAGACCAGACCCTCCAGGACATTCTCTGCTGCTGTGAATCTCTGTCCCTGATATCTGAGAGCCAAGAAACGGATGCCTACCTCAGGAAGGGAGGCAAGAGCTGACCCACACCCAGAGCGCAGAGCAGAGTTGGTAGCAGGCTATCGGCTATTCTTCTAGCCATTCAGTCCCCTAAAAGTGATTCATATTCTGTATCACTCACGTTCTCCACGTCCTTTCCCTTTATGCTGCAAGGGTGTATGCTCCTACTCTGCGCTGGGCTCTTGGACATTCACTTTTCTGTTTAGCTCCTGGGCATGCAATAAACTTCTAGGCCGTTCCCTGCTGATCTGTCTATTGGTTTATTTCAGAATAATTGCTGATTCTCAGTAGTGTGGGAGAGAATTTGGAAATACCCTTACAACTTCAAGTCCTTGCTAAACAGAGGCAACACCATCCTGTTTGTTCAGTCAGTGGGTGAGCAGAAGAAAGAGGGTGGCCCTCTTTATCACCCTTAGGATCCATGCACTTGCTTTGTGAAAACAGAAGAAGGGAGCATAAAGTTTACCTACAGAGTTTGGTAGGGATAGGGATGGGGAGTAAAGATGGGGGGACAAGCATGGATGGACAGACAGATGGATGAAGGATGGGTGAATGGGGTTGAGGATGCGATCAACTGCAGAGTCCCAAACCCCAAATTGCTGTTTGCTCAATATGACTTTTTTGCACTATTTGAGTTACTTGGGATAAATTCAAGCTCTAGAAGGAAAAATAGTAGTGGTTTTACCCTCTTTAAACGTGTTTTACTAGACAAACCCAGCTAGTGTCTGGCTGCCTTCAGCCCTTAAACACTCAGCCCACCACTACCCACCATGGCCACAAATCAAATATTTCCTGTGGAGACGCTGAGGTACAGAAGAAGGGTCCCGGCATACCACGCTGCCTTTTGTAAAAAACAAGCCGGTCCCTGAGAAATATCTGGGAGGACAAATGAAAAGTTCTACAGACTCAGCATCATGACGCTCACTTCATCATTCCCTACCTTGTTTTGAAGTGATTTATTAATAGACACTTCAGGGATTCGGGAGAATCTCTAAATGAAACAGTTCTCATTTAAACTATTTTATGTGTCTCTAACTGAGAACAGATCGATTTCTTCCACAAGGACATCAAACTCAGGGGCTGGAAAAATCTCAGTCCGTCGTCTGCCGGCTCACAGGAGCCACCTGATCCACTGGGCAAATACAGAGTCTGAGTTTTATGTGAGTCGCTGCACGGATGGCTCACCTTGTCCAGTGTGTCGTTCAGAGCATCCAGCATCTGGATTTTGGCAGCGTTTGTGACGGCACTGTGAAGATGAAAAGGGTCTTTAAATAAGAGCCAAAGCTTGGGGCTGGGGATGTAGCTCAGTGGTTGGTTGAGTGTGGACCTGGTTTATACAGACCCTAGATTCAATCCCCAACACCACTCCCACAAAGTGACTTATTGGGGTGGGGAGATGTTACAGTCAGTAAAGTGCTTGATAGACCTGCGTTTGATCTATAAAACCCAAAGGGAAGAAACAAGAAAAGCCAGGTATGGAGGTGTCATGCCAGCACTGGGGAGGTAAAGAAAGGGGTTTGCTGCCCTGATTATTTGGTGGCCCAGGCCAGTGAGACAGCCTGTTATTAAAAAAGGCAAATTGTTTCTGAGGAACAATACTGGAGCTGTCATCAGCTCTCTGTGTATGCATACACACACACACACACACACACACACACAAATTATAAACACACATACACAAACCACACACACACATACACAGACACATACCCAAGTTTTGTGTTTTCTCAAAATACCGCTGCTGAAGAGGTTAAATGATTCCTGCAGGTTTATACTGTGCTCAGCAACACCTAGAGAACAACGTTCTGTCTCCATGTCCACGTGTGCCACACCACGCTTTGTAAACCAAGTTCTTACTATAACTGATTTTTAGCTTTGCACTGGCATATACTATGCACACATGAAATGCACATACTATAAGCCTATAGTTCATGGATTCATGAACTAAAACACTTGTCAAATCAGTGACCTTTGGGAATAACCAGTTCCCTGCAAAGACCACCAGTTCTGTCTTTGGATTTCATACAATAAGCCATGATAGCATGTGTTCTCTTGTGTCTACCTTCTTTCTCGCTGGTCAAGCTATGTTATAGGAAGGTTTCATTCAGGCCCAAGTCCACAGTGCAGTGTCTTACACAAACTCTGCGCTTGGTGAATTTATTTTCTGGATTGTTTGTGTTGGTTGCTAGACGCTATTAGGGATCTAGACCAATGATTATGAGAGAAGTCTTTCCTGTGTTTAAAAAACTGTTCTGTAGCTGGGTGGTGGTGGCACCTGCCTTTATTCCCAGTGCTCAGGAGGCACAGGCAGGCATATCTCTGCTCTATAGAGAGAGTTTCAGGAAAGCCAGAGCTACACAGAGAAACCCTGCCTCAAAACATAAAAAGCATACAAACAAAAATAAGTAAAAACTGTTCTGTAAGAAGTGGTTGTCAAGAAAGTAGACCTGGAGGATTCTATGCTCAGTGGGGGTCGGGGGGGGGAGTCACAATGAAGGGGAATCTATGGACCTGTCATGGGTTCTCAGACATGGTATAAGACTTGTTACTAGTGGAAATCTACCAGTAGTTCATTCTTTCTTTCGTGTGTGAAATCCTTTATAAAAATCCCTGCCACATACTGGGAAAAAAAACTTTGAAGAGTAATTTAAAAATAACTTTACTTGGGGGCTGGGAAGATGGTTCAGTGGAGAACGATTGAGACAGACACCTGATGGAAACTTTGGGTCTCCACATGTGTGAGCATGCCATGCATATAAACACTACACACACGCACATACACTACACACACGCACACACACACACACACACACACACACAAACACGGCCAATAATTTGGTATGAAAAGGACAAAGAAATTACGTCTGTTTCCCTCCACATTTTCTCTGTGAGACTTAAGCAGGTTTTTTGAGCATCCCTTAAACAATTCCTTTTGAATCCCTCATAGAGCTCCATGGAAACCAAACTCCAAAAGCATCATTCCTCATTGGGCTACTTGGAGGAATCGGGTCAGTGTGTTCATTTCTTTTCGAAATACACTCATAGTCCTTAAGCAAGTCTTCAGTCCACGTATGTATAGGATACACCAGCTCTGACCTCTAACTTTATAATGTTAAGGTCATGGTAGAAGAAGGAGGGAGGAAAACAACCCCAGTGTTGGCATGCTTTCAAGCTTGGTCATAGTTACGGTTTCAGTCATTGTGACAAACACCATGGCCATAAGCAACGTGGGGAGGAAAGGGTTAGTTTCCTCTTACATTTCCAGGTAACAGTCCATCACTGAGAGAACTCTGGACTGGCTCAGTGGTTAAGAGCACTGACTGTTTTTCTGGAGGTCCTGAGTTCAATTTCCAGCCACCATACGGTGGCTCACAACCATCTATAATGGGATCTGATGCCCTGATGCCCTCTTCTGGTGTGCAGGGATACATGCAGATGGAGAAACTTATACCAAAAACAAATAAATAAAATAATAATAAAAAAAAAAGAAACTCAAGCAGGGCAGGAACCTGGAGACAGGTACTGAAGCAGAGGCCATGGAGGGATGCTGCGAACTGGCTAGCTTCTCATGAAGGAAGAGAATGTCCCACAGGCTTGCTTACAGGCCTATCTGGTGGGGGCATCTTCTCTCCTGTGCTTTCCTCTTCCCAAGTGACTGTGCCATTTGTGTTGTGCCTGTGTCGAGTTGACATAAAACTAGCCAGCGCACAGTGACTATTTTCTTAAATAAGTGAATGGAAATTTCAAAATTTTAAGAGGCAGTTATTCTTTATCCATATCATAGAGCACGCTATGAGAAAGGCCAGAGGAGGTGCAGTCTTTTAAAGAAAATAAGAGGAATGGAATGATCTTTGGGGTCGGATGCATTTAGGACCACTTTAGGAGGCAGCTGGGTGACTGCAGAGAGGAGAATGGGTAGGGTGTAATGGGGAAACGCTCCAGTTGGTATCCCAGAACCAATTCTCATCGTGATTCTCGCCTCTACCCATGCCTGGCTGCCTCCCCCGAAATTCTTGGGGGCCTTCGTTTGTCCCTGAATAACTTCTGGGAGCAGAACTATAAGCAATCCCTACCTTGTTTTCTCCAGTCCTGTTTTTTTGGTGTGTCTTTCCAAAACGCCCATCTCTTGTTTCTTGGAAATCCGCATCCCTCCAGCTTTCACTGGAACAATAAGCAGGCGTGCACGTGAGAACAGCTTTGTTTTTCACAAGGACTCCCATCTAACATGAGTTTCCAGATTGACATAGAGAAAACACTTTTATCTAAACAACAGAATTAAAGAAAAAGAAAATCTAAGGAAACCAGGGCAGGAAGCAGGGAAGGCCTGGGGTTAGCTTTATTCTGCTCAGAGAAGTGGAAACGAGGTTGAAAAGGCAGAAGGTCACGCCTTAGACTTAGGAAGAATAACAACACACTCCCTTAGGCATTTAGCTGAAAAACAGGTTTTTTTTTTTTTGTCCCTTGTTATCAAACCAATTACATTCTTCAAGATAGCAACCCGTAATTACAATGTGACCCCTCTGTTTTCCCACAAGATTAAAGCTTTTTGCATGGCTTGCACTTTTGTTTTTTCAACGGAAGCTTTCAAATGTCAGATTCGGAGAGATGAGCCAAATTTCAGGGTGTTCACAGACATTTAACTCAAACGAGGGGCTCTGAATTCCAGGGGATAGCCACCTTCATCTCAGACCCCAAACCTCCATGTTGGCTAAGCTCTGAGGTTCTAATGAGTAATTAAATTGTATTAATAGTCACGCCATTCAAGAGTTCAATTAGTGTTAATTAGGCTACAGACGACCTAAAAGCAATTCAAGTGTTTAACAGTGTCAGCTGAAATCAGCGTTGGAGAAGGAACAGCCCGCTTCAGATTGCAAGTCACAACAAAAACTTCCCTCCTTTCTCAGAAACATCACACATCTAAAATCTGACATGCTCAAATGAAAAGTGGCTACGGGGACGTTGATTTGTTTGAACCTGATAAATTCTCTTCATGGAAACTCCACTTGGGCAATTCTCTAAAACTATTTCCAGTGTGGAAAATAAAGAAAACCTGTGCCTCAAGCTGACTTTATCACTCTTCTTATACATATTAATATTGAAGTGCAGAAGGTGCACAGATCAGGACACATGAAAAGATTTGTGACTCCCTGCCACCATCTCTTTCCAGCCTGCAGACAATCTCCCTGGACACTGCTAAATTTCAAGTTCCGAGTTTTTAGTTTTCACCAACAGATGTTATTAGACACATTCTTTGTTTTAAATGGTAGAATAAGATACTGTTTTATTATCTGATTTATCCCCCCCCTTCCCCCTGCCTTAACCACACATTTTATAGGATGTTCCGCTTTTCTCTGTCTTTATTCTATATATCTCCATCCTTATTCTTCTCCTCCTCTTCTCCTTTCCCTTCTTCTCCCCGACCCCAAGACAGGGTTTCTCTGTGTAGCTCTGGCGGTCCTGGAACTCGCTCTGTAGACCAGGCTGGCCCCGAACTCACAGAGATCCTCCTGCCTCTGCCTTCAGAGTGCTGGATTAAAGGCGTGCGCCACCACCGCTCAGTATGTCTTTCTTATTACTATCTGCTTTGCAATTCTATATGAAAACCTTCTGTGTTGACTTGGCCACTTTGCCAATGCTAAGTGTCTCGCTCGTTTCATAAACAGAGCTGCGGTGAGTATCCTTTTTATACACAGTGTCGTACAAGCACACGGCTATCTGGGCGTTGTATTTCTAGAAGTGGCTTTGCTTCGTGTATTTGGAATTTTCTTAAATCCGGCTGAACTGGCCCTCACAGAGGTTATGCTAGTTTACAGTCTCACCAGCTGCCATGGTAGCAATTGTTTCTCCAGACAATGGGCTAGACAAGGTTGTGTTTTATCCACTAATAAGCTAAAGATTAGAACTGTAACGGGCACAGAGAAGCTGTCTTGGGTCCTGTAAGTAAGTAACTGGAAGCAGGATGGAAGCCCAGCATCCCAGCCTTCATTTTGTGCTGTTGCCTTCATTTGGGTTACCTGCTTTATGCCTAGGTGTTAGAAAGTGGGAGGAGTCAGATGGCTTGGTTGGGGAAAGAAAATGGCTTCACATGATCCTTCCTGACTCTCCTTGTATTTAAACCTAACGCTTGGACCGGGACTAGAGACACGGATCCGCACTAAGAGTGCTTGTGATCTTGGGGAGAACTGGTTCGGTCCCAGCAGCCACACTAGCTCAGTCACCTGGGTCGCTCATAGCCTTTTCTGGACTCACACATACATACATTAATATAAAAAATAATAAAAAAATAATAAATACTAAGCCTCAGGCTCATGCCAGAGCCTGGAAGATGAAGTTGGGATCCCTGGATCTTTGTCTGTTCCTTTTCCCAAAGCACACGGATCAAACCTCTTCTCTGCTTTTGATCACTGCTCATGTCTTTAACTGGCATTTTGGGGACAATGGCCAAACTTAGCTACTTGGGGCTGCCAGGCTTTTGTCCCCAAACTCCAGGTTACAGTATCTCGTTGCTTTAATTAGCATTTCCTTTTTGTTATTACAGCTTAAGCCTGTTTTAGAAGGGTGTTTGTGTTTTCTTTTCCGTGACTTTTGTCCAGCCCCCCCCCACCCCACTAGATTACTAGTCTCTCATCTCTTTCTTACTGAATTTTAGGAGCAGTTGTGAAATGCAAAGTGATTAATTGTACCAGTTACTGCCTTTTTCCTCATTGATAATGTCTGCCCATTGCAAACCTTTATTGTTCTTATGATGTAAGCTTGTCAGTCTCATGTGGTTTCATAAGGAAATGGGATTTTTGCTGACCATTCTCTGCTGTCTTTTAGACATTCAGTGGCTTCATCTTGTGAAGCCAGGCTCCAGCTACACCCATATATCCTTGGTCTTTTAATGATACAGTTGATGCAAGTCATAAGGAAGAGGCAACTTTGTCTTGCTTTGTTTTGAGGCTGTTGAGACTGGATTTTGCTATGAACCCAGGACTCCCTGTGTAGCCCAAGCTGCCCTCAGACTCCAAGTTCTCATGCCTCTACCACCCATGGGCTGCAGTTACGGGCACACACCACACACGTGGTTTGATGTAAGATTGTTTTAGTTGATCCAAATATTGAAAATTAATCTTTTCCTTGTCACTTTGAAATTCACCTTTACTGTACACTGAGTTCTTAGACATATATGTACACACACACACACACACACATATATATATATATATATATATATATATATATATATACAAACATTATTATCTCTGGTAGGTTTCTATTGCTGTGAAGGGACACCATGACCATGGCAACTCTTATAAATGAAACATTTTACTGGGATGGCTCTCTGTAGCAAGCTTTTTCGTTGGGACCTCCAGCTCACATATAACAACGTGGAGACTTGTTATTAATTACAAAGGCTCACCCTTAGCTTAGGCTTATCCTACTAGCTCTTATAACTTAAGTTAACCCATTTATGTTAATCTATATTCTTCCACGTGGCGTTACCTTTCTTCCATCTTGTACCTCCTGTTTCTTCTCCATATCTTGCTGGCTAATCTTCCTTTCTTCTTCCCAGAGTTCTCTCTCTTCCCAGAAGTCCTACCTCTACTCTCCTGCCTAACTATTAGCCGTTCAGGATTTTCTTGTCCCAATCACAGCAATACCTCTTTATATCATACAGTGTACAAATATCTCACAATAGCTCTCTTACAGTTTCAGAGGTTCCGTCCATTATCATCATGACAGGGAGCATGGTGGTGCGCATGCAGGCAAGGTGTTGAAGCTGGGAGTCCTACATCTTGCAGGCAACAGAAAGTGAACTGACTGTCACACTGAGGGAAGCTTGAGCAAGAGACCTCAAAGCTGCCCCAATGGTGATATGCTTTCTACAACAAGGCCATACCTCCTAAAAGTGTCATTCTCTTTGGGGACCATTTTTTTTCAAACCATCACATATACATATATATGGGAGTATATAAGAGTGTGTCAAAACATGTACATCTATGAGTATTTCTGAACTTTCTGTTCAATTAATTTGTACAGATACCCCTATATTTGTAGTTAAAGTATAGTATGCTGTAATACTTGACAGTTCATCTTATGACATTTTATTTAAAGAATTTTACGATCTATTGTTACTTTAAAAATTTGTCAATTCCCTACACATTCTTTTTTTTTTTTTTGTATTTCTACAAATTTTTTGAGACAGGGTTTCTCTGTGACTTTGGAGCCTGTCCTGGAGCTAGCTCTTGTAGACCAGGCTGACCTTGAACTCACAGAGATCCACCTGCCTCTGCCTCCCAAGTGCTGGAATTAAAGACATGCACCACCACTGCTCAGCTAATTTCCTATAAATTCTTGTTGATATATTTTGATTATTTTTAATTGATAAGATTTTTCTTTTGAGATACAGTATTACTGTGTTTTCCAGGGTTGCCTTGAACTTGTGGCTTTCCTACATTAACCTCCTGAGAACTGAGATCATACCACCTCACTTGGGTAAATTTATGGATATTGTTAAAGAGGAAAATTCACGTCTTTATACTCCTGGTGGCTCTGTATTTGAGAATATGTGTGGTTTTCTATTGTTTACCTCTTCTGAGCCCCTTGGAAATTTGTGCAGATTAATTTTGTAGGCTTATGCTTAGGTTCCCCTTTATTAAGCATTTTATCTTTGTTGATATTGCTATTGTAAATCAGGTCTACTCTTCATGCCCAAACTACAAACTTGAACCTGAAAAGTTTAGCTGAATATCAGTAAGTTTATTGTAATTAATTTTATACTTAAATTGTAGCAAATTCTATTATTGCTTATTATAACTTTCTATAGGTTTTCTAGGTGAAAAATATAATTTACAAAGAATAATATGTCTCCTTTAGGAAAAATGTGGTTATTGTGGACTTTTTTTTTTTTTTGATTTTCGAGACAGAGTTTCTCCATAGATTTTTGGTTCCTGTCCTGGAACTAGCTCTTGTAGTCCAGGCTGGCCTTGAATGATTGTGGACATTTTTGTCTTTCTGATTTTTAAAGCTTGTGGTTCCTTATTAAATGTAATACATTCTTTGTGTGGCCTTCTATTCCTACATATCTATTCCTATAATACACACATTATGAATTTTCATCACATTTAGGGACTATCCTTCTATTTTAATTCCATATTATTCTATTATTTGAAGAGATATTAGATTTCAACAATTTTTTAAAACATTTATGGATATGATCATATGAGTTTTTTTCCTTAATGTGGTTAATTAGATCTTTGTTTTCGGCAATGTTTAGTTCATTTGGAAGGACTCTGAGAGTCTCCTAAGGAGAGCAATTAGAGAGAGAGAGAAAAGGGGGGGTCACAGGGAGGGAGCTGTGCAATCCACTAAGACCACTAGATGCAGGTCAGGGTCACCAAAGTTCTGCAGGGCCAGGTGTCCTAATCTGTTGCTAAAAGAATGTCCATCACTTGCCTCACCTTGGAAAGGGCGTACACACTTAACAGGGAACCAAACACCAAGGGATACTTTAGAAACCCACACTCAGGAGTTCTTCATTCTTAAGACTAAAGCAAAGACATTTAGGGAGGACAATTTCATTTGGCAAGACAGAAGATATCCCAGTTCTGTGGGTGGATGCCCTGGTTTATAGAATAAGGCTCTCACAAACTTGGGGTGAGTGAACCAGTTGGAACCAGTTTATGGGAGGGTCATCTTCAAAGCTCTGCTGGGAACACTGGTCTCACAGGATCTAGACAAACTGCCACTAGAGCTTACGACAATCATCCTGGCCTGTTTTCTTGACCCCGTGTATGATTGGAAGGTCTTTCTAAGGAGCCACTGTGTATAAATCAGCCCTTTCAATCTTAATGCACCCGCCTTCAGCTTCATATGTGGACTGTATTTTCTCTAGAATATTTGTGTAAAACCCAACTGCAATTAGACACAGTAAAATGTGAATAGGTTTACTATCTTAATGGACCATAAATACAAATTTGAATATAAATACATAAGATTGTCAGTACTTTGGGCGAGTAAAATGAACTAGAATCTATAGAAGTATAAAGTAATGGTTTTTTGGGGTTGTTTTGCTAGAAAACCTTTGTTGGTGCAGGACTGAAACTTTTCCTTCTTGTCTTGGGTTAGAGCTGACTTCTTGTGGTAGAGTTTGTGGTTTGTAGTTTTTCAAAGGTCGATCTTATAGTCTCAAATTATGCAGTCTCTAGTCAAGGTTTTTCCCAGTGTTTGGCAGTGAATAGACAAGCCCCAAACCAGCCTGTAAGAGAAACTGGCCCCTTTTCCTTCCCTAGACCGTGGGGAATGTGTTATAGGAGGCAAGAAAATGTAAAGTTTGCCCACACTCTGCTTTACGGCTGAAAACTTACTTGAAGATCTCAGGAAGAGGCCAATGCTTATAGGCTACTCAGTGGACAGTCAGGGTTGACTTGTCAGTGAATTTTGGTGGCCAATCAAGACCCCTGACAAATTCTCAAGAGAAGGGACTTTTTTGGAGCAAGAAAATTTCATCACAAAGCCAGTTACCTTCCAGTCTCAGGGATATGTGGTGTTAGCAGGGTCTCTTGGCCTCTCTGACTTTCAGTGTGCTCCTTTGTGTGGCTTCTCTGCAGAGCGGCATTTATCTGGAGCGCGGCTGCCGTGTCTAGGAGTTTCTATGTTATGCAGGTGGAAGATTGACTTTGAGCGACTGGCGGCTGCCCTTGCAGTCACCAGCCCCCCTCTCCGCGATGTTTTGGGCAGTGGATCTCATACACTTCTCTTTCAATCTGTTCAACCCTATTCTTCACGACTTTACCTGCTGGACTGAGAAAAACTAAGCCTTCATTTTGTTTAGTTTTCATGTCTTTTTAAAATTATTTTTTTGGGGGGGGGGGACAGAATCTCACTAAGTAGATTCCCAGCTGACCAGGAATTTTCTTTGTAGTCCAGGCTGTCATTGAATACACAGAGATCTGCCTGCCTCTGCCTCCTGAGTGCTGGAACTAAAGGCATGAGCCTGGCCTAATTTTATTGTTTTAATAGAATATCTTTTGTGTATTCTTTGACGCACGCACGCACACTGACCTATGCCACCCCCCCCCCCGCTGCCCTCCATTTTGCTTGTTTTAAAAGACACTGGTCCTTAGGCACTAACGGTCACCTCTGGAATTCTTCATGATAACCTTTTCTCACAACCTTTCCTGTTTTCTTCACAAGACAGAAAATGCTTCTGGCAGTTCACAGCTGAACCACAGAACATTTCTGATTTTTTTTTTTTTTACTTAAGTCAATTTAAAACGTGCAGGACTAGAGATGAACTGAGGAGTGACTGTTTGTCTTCCTATTCATCATGCATTTGGCATCCCTGGACCGTCTTCTGCTCACAACACTTTGGTTATTGCCATTCACACAATGGGGTAATTATAAAACTGAGATAAAGGTAAACCAAAACAGCGGGAAATTCAGTTATGCTTCCTAGAGCCCAGGCCACTTCATGACTGACATTTTCTTGTTCCAGGGCATAAATGTGAAACCAAGGCTAACAGTAGTGTGATATGTTACATTAACACACGTAAAGAAGTGCCCAACACACGTGCATGGGGTTGGAGAGTGTTGGCTAGCTGATTTCCGAGTGGCTCCATTCATAGCTATGCTGGCAATCGCTAGTGTCTTTCCCCAGTGCAATTGTTTTCTGTTCGGAGTCCCGCAGCAGCCGCCAGCGAGGATCCCACCTCTGAAAGCCTTGGAGTCCAGAAGCATCATTCTGCATTTTCCTGACCACAGTGGGTCTTGCAAGGCCTGCGTTTTAAAGGGGTCAACATTCAAGTGTCACATCCCTTACTTATGCTCACTGTCCCTTCTCATCACACACTAGCTTTACCAGATTGCTGTTATTTATCCTCCCTTTCCCTAGGTAAAAAATCCGAGACTCCAAGATGCAAATTACAAGTGAAGCTCAAACCCTACTCTGTCCGATTCTGACTGCCATGCTTTCCTTACCTTCCCACCTCATGACATAAGCTTGCTGTTGTCAGACATCTGTATTTTGCTTCTAAATATCGGGTGAAAATTTAATAGAATTCTTGGCATCTTACGAGTTTTGCTCCATAAATAACAACTTGCAATACTGCAGACTGGCTCAGACTTAAAAAAAAAAATATGGGGAACCAGCTGAAGGGTGACGCTCCTTTGTTCTCTTGAGCTCAGTGGGGATGCAGGTCAGCCTGCCTCTCCGTTCCAATTATCCAGAACCTCCTATCTGCAGTGTCACAGTTGATAATAATTCATTGTCATGCCGGAGGCATGTCATGATGGAGTCATGGTGCGCTATGTACACAGAGTAATTAGCAACCATTAGTGACGGGGACAGGCAGTTCCTGGTGGTGGTGTTCAAACTTGCACTTTTGAAATTGACTTAAGCCAAAGGAACCACGTGTTTAAGTTTAACTTTGTGCATAAATGTACTGTAGCAAATCAGTTTTTTTTTTTTAGTTGGATCATTATCTGAAGGCTTGGGGTGGAGGCGGCATGAAGGGAGTGGCATATTTCTTCGCCTTGTTGCAATATACGAGTCCCCCTAACGACTGGATACACAGCCCCCCCCATTCATTCGCATTAATACCTTTACATCTTTAATGTTAAAAATTGCTAAGCACAAGTACACGGGTAGCATGTCAGTAGACTGACAAAGGAGATTGGACATGGTGTCTAGAAGACGTCAGAAAAGTCTAGTCTACTGGGCTGCCTTCCAGAATGCGCTGGGTCTCCATCAGATCCCCCAGCCTCTGCACAGCCTGTGCCTGTCATGCTGGCCTGAGGCTCAGAGGCCTCAGCCTCCTCTGAGAGGTACCAAAGCATTATAAAAACAACAGGATCTGTAGATGGAGACAGGCCAGCACAAAGCAGCCAAGTTTTTGAGATGTCAGGAGACAAGGACAGCATTTGGAAGAATGTAAAGCTGACTAAAAATAGGCCCGTGCATGCTAGCCAAACTATGTAAACATATACGTAGTTACAGGAGAACCAGGGTCCACAGAGTCGATGCGAAGAGCATGCATTGAACAACGGGAGATACTCTAGATGTCAGAGCCCCTCCAGTCCCTGCGTGCTTATTAAAAGGTGCTGATAGCTTTGCCCAACCCCAAAGACTCCAGAAGCAGGAAAGGGGCACTGTTCTCTGCACGGGGTTAGTATGACGTCCTAACCACGGGTATCTTACAGAAGTGGCGTGAGCGGTGGAACACTGAGTAGGGTATTATCCCCACGAGGGTGACTCACGCAGGTGAGGGTATGTCCCAGCTCATCTACAGCCAGAGAGGAGCTCAGGCTGCTGGGACAGTTGTGGACTGCCAACCTTGGCTCCGCTGAGCTGCTTCTGGGAGGATGAAAGGGGGTGAAGATAGCCCCTGCAGCTGCAGGAGTCACGTGGGTGCGGGGGACCTACCTGCAGGAGCGTGCCGCCCTTTCAGCGGGGACAGCGGGACTTGCACGTCGTTTGCCATAGTGCCTGTGTGCCAGTGCCTTGTTGGTGCTCTGGAGGCTGAGTGCCGGTTGTGGTTGCCTCACCTCACCTCACTAGGGCTTTATAACTGCAGGGGGTGGGGCCCCTTGAGGGTAATGTTGAGCAACAACTGGGCTTGCCACTCAGCTGCCCTGGACTGAATCTCCTTGGCAGGTCTTCTCCTCTTTGATCTGCAGGACAGAGGAAGTAACGAGGAGAAAGTAGAGAAGATGCGGTAACATCAACAGTTCTCTCCAGTAAGTGTGAGGCTCTTTGTCACACAAACAGGCGTGACACAGCAGACAAGACAAGAGTCTTTGCTTCAAGACACCGGTGGTCTTTCCAAGAGACAATCGAGACAATCGCAAGTGAGCACTATGTCTTTTGGAGGCCTTCCTAGTGGTGAGAGTTCATACTAAGAAAATAACTGCACAGAAGAGGCTTCTGTGCAAGTATATTGGTCATGCATTTCTTTTCTTTCTTATTTTGTTTTGCTTTGAAGGGAATTAATATAAATATCCCCCAAACAGAGGCTAAGCTAAACTAAGATGTGGCTAAGAGAATGCTATGTAGTGCATATTCCAAATCCTGCTTCAAGTAATATTTAGCGATGGAAAAAATATTAGTGATTATACAATAAAATAGTATCTATAAACGGATAGATGCAATGTATATATTAATACTTATTGCTGCATCTCCAGGGTCAACATTTGCAGATGATGCTCAGATAAACTGTTCTTCAACCCCAAACTGCTTTTCGGCCAGGTGCGATGGCACAAGCCTTTAATCCCAGCACTTGGTAAGCAGAGGCAGATGAATCTCTGTGAGTTCAGGTCAGCCTGCTCTACAGAGTGAGTTCTACAGCCAGGGCTATGCAGAGAGACTCTGTCTCAAAAACAAAAATGAAACAAGCAAGCAAGAACTCAGAAGAAATTGAAGAAAACCATGAAAAGGGAGAAAATATTCATAGAATACAATTTGGATGAAGTATCACTATCTAGACTATATAAGACTATGTAAGCCACTATGTAAAGAATCTTTACAACAGAATCCACAGTGTAGAGGTTCACAACAAGCCCCTGAGAAGATGGTCAACATCTTTAATAGTTAGGGAAATGCAAACTGGAGCTCTGTTGAAATATCTCTGCCTATGTACTAGAATGCCACAATGGCAGAAAAAAAAATAAATTATCGGTGAAGATGCTGGAGCCAAAGGAGCTCCTTCCATGATGTTATAGAATATAAGAGAAGCAAAATTGTTATAAGTCAATTCGATATACTTAGCGTATATCGTGGGGACAATAATCCAATTGCTGGGAATTCTCCTAAGAGAAATAAAAGCTTTTGTATACATAGAAACCTGTGTATAGATGTCTATAACAGTTCTACCCAGAATTGACAAAAGTTAAAAACAACCCCAAAGCCCATTAGCTAATTAACTGTGGACAAACAAGTTGTGCTACATGCTCATTGCAGAATACAACTCAGTCACAGAAAAACCACAGCACAGAGGGACACAAAATCACTATTCTAAATGAAATACGCCAGACTTAAAAGAAAAAAAAAATCAAAGTATAAAACAAGTGGCTTGCCGTATAATTTCACATATAACACAAGCTAGAGGTGATGACGCACACCAAGAATCCTAACACTGAGGAGGTCGAGGCAAGAAGATTGTATGGGGCCAGCCAGAGAAATGTAATAGGACCCTGTCTCAAATAAGTATCAAAAGGGCTGGGAAGATAGCTCAGTCGTTAAAAAGGCTGCCTTATAGAGGATTGGAGTTCTGTTCCCAGAACAGCTCCAAGCGATCTCATGTCTTTTTCTGGTCTCTTTGGAAACCCACATGCCTGTACACTCTCTCACACACTTAAATTAAAAAAAAAAATAACGGAAGGGCTCAGTGTAAGAGCACTCACATAGCATGTAGGTAGACCTACTGAATCCCCAGCATGAGGGAGAGGAAAGGGAGCAGGTGAAAAGGACAGCAACAGTAATCTAATCAGTGGCGACTGTAGAGGAGAGGAGAGAGGTCCAACTATGAAGGGATGGGAAGGGACTTTTGGAGGCGGTGGATCTATTCCGTTTCTTGCTATAGGGTGGTTACATGAATAACAGGCATACCATCTATAAAAGTGGTGAATATTACTGTATGTGAAAATACATCTCAATGAATAATACGAATATCTGCTTACTAAACAAATTGATGGATGCGTACTGTAAAATGTTGAGGGGTTGTTTATAAGTAGTATATCACCTGTTGGTTTTTTTTTTTTTTAAAAAAAACCTTCTTGAGTTTATTTTTATTAACTGTGTGTTCAGGTGCTTACACACAGGTGTGTGTGTGTGTGTGTGTTGTGGGCATAAAATTATTGAAACACCATGTGCAGACTTGATCCTGCCCTCAAGTGCTTGTGATACACAATGAACTTCATGTTTAGACTTGGGCCCCATCTTGAAGAGATCTCATGTGTGGATTCCAAGACTTAAAAAAGCCGAGCTGGACACTTTGGTTCCGAGCATCTCTGATAAAGGCTGCTCAGCCTGTAATGGGCAATACGACCATTTGCTTTGCTCTTTACCCCTAAAGAGAAAATAAACTACGAGTTTATAGCAGGACTATACAAGTGACCTATAAAAGGGTGTCATCACCCATGAAGAGACACACCACCTGCTTAACCGTAGGAGGGAAGGAGGATGCGGTCACTGGGCTTTGCCTTCCGGGTGGTCTTTTCCTACTCCCTTACCTCCTGGAGCAGTAGGAGTCGAGAGTCCATTCTGATCACCTTGGTGTGTAGTTAGCCCAGAGGTGGAGAGCTCTCAACGCCTGTTTTAAGTTGGTCATCAGAAGCCTAGGTCTGTTTTGCGGACCATGAATTAACTGGAGTCAGCGTTATTGGCTTTGGACAATGCTACTAGGACTTCTATAAGGATGAAAGTCTTTCCAAAGAAGAGCAACATGTCATTACCTCTGGAGTGGGCTCATAAACCTCTCTTTAAAGGAGGCATTGGTGTGAGCGACTCCAGTGGGGAGTGCTCCTGCTAGGACTCAAGCCTTGGGAATTGTGCTTGGTAATGTTAAAAGCCTAGTAAAGAAGATTCTCACGACCCGGAGGACCAGACAGCCTCTGACTCCTAGATGAAAGGCCTATATAACATGAATGACATTAATCAGCCTCCACTTTCATGAGGCACTCTCTTCTCTTCATCTGTGTGCGTGGTGGTGTGATTACACGCCTCATCCGCTTTTACTTTTCGGCAGCGTGCCTCTCATTTTCATATTTTGCTCTCTCCTCCCTAATGGTCGTTACATGGTGTAATCTAACACCAAGTTCTGAATGTATGAACAATCTATGTCAGAGACCGTAGGCAAGCAATACTACACCCGACAGGGTGGTGACTCACTGCCGGGGTAAAGGGAAGCCTTCTGCAGATCCTCCCTCCTGTGAGTAAAGTTCCAGGGCTCCCAGCACCTATCTGTGTTTAGATGTCTCTCCTTCTCCTAACTAGGATTTCCCTTCTTTCCAGACATATTTTTTTTTAAAAAAATAATGAATTGAAAATGTAGGTTGACTGTGGTTATTATTTATTTGTGTGTGTGCAAGGAGTAGTACACGCGAGTGTGCATGGCACAGTGTGTGTGTGTGTGTGCAGAGATCACAGGACTGCCTATGGGAGTCAGTTCCTTCCTTCCTGTGGAAGGATGCTTAAAAGAAATCGCACACTAGCTCAGAACTGAGAAATGGATGGTTATTTATTTAGGGGTAGACTCACAAGTCAGAATCCTTCGCTTGAACGGAGGACAGAAAGCAAATCCAGCAACCGGAAAGAACGCAGATGCATGTTCTACATTGGCTTACATGGTATAGGAGGCCACGCCCCAGTGTGCGGGTAACCACTGGCTGTGCAGGAGGAGAGGTAAAAGCCACAGTCACATGGCAACACGTATATGAAAAGAAATGGTTAATTTAAGTTAGAAGAGCCAGTGGGACAAGTCTAAACTGTAGGCCTTAGCTATAGGACAAGCTTTCATAACTAATAAGTCTCCATGTCATTTTTGTGAGCTAGTGGCCCAAAGAGAAAGCCTGCTACGAGTCAGCCAACCTTTTAAGGAAACAGTGAAGAGTATATATGTTTTCTTGCCTTGAAGCCTTGGGTCCGACAGACATCTTTAGTTAGAAGATAATGATTATTTGTAGAAATTCATCATAGAGTTGGGTGGTGGTGGCACACAACATTTAATCCCAGGACTCAGCAGGCAGAGGCAGGTGAGTTTGCTGCCAATGTGTTCCACAGAGCAAGCTCCAGGTCAGCCAGGGCTACATAGAGAAACCCTGTCTTGAAAAAAACAAAACAACAAAATTGTCATAGAAAATATATGAAAACATTACTATCTTCAGTCACCTCATGTTTTCCATGTCCCTGAAGACAAAATATCCTTATTCCACTTCGTAGTCAAGGAAAAACAAAGCCGGGTGGCAGAGACACAGTTGAAAGCTTGGGATTTGTTTTTGACTGGCCCAGTCTTCATCACTGTGCAAGCATTTGAGACATCCATCAAGAGTCTGAGAAGTAATACTGGGAACTCTGTGTAGTGCACCCAAACAAGACAGCCAAGGAAGGGCACACAGAGTAGTGGATGGTAGGATTGACATGTCCAAGGGACACATGCCTCTCCCGCGATCTGGAAAGGCTAAGCCAGGAGGTGGCGGCTCATGACTTTAATTCCAGCACTCGGGAGGCGGAGGCAGGCGGATATCTGTGAGTTCAGGGCTAGCCTGGTCTACAAGAGCTAGTTCCAGGACAGGCTCCAAAGCTACAGAGAAACCCTGTCTCGAGAAACTGAAAAGAAAGAAAGAAAAAAGAAAGAAAGAATAAAAGAAAGGTTCAGATACTAAAGACTGTGAAAGGAGTTGAATGGCACAGATTGGGAGGAGGGAAGAGGGACAAGAGAGGAGTCAGGGGATGGAGGAGTTGGGGGAGAGGGTGACGGGAGGGAGAGCTTGAAAGGTCAATGTTGGATTTTGTTGTGGCCTCCTTATCTACT